TCCATGATGATCCTCTTGTGTTAAGAGAATAATAAATTACATATTGACTCCTATTTTTCAATTGATCTAATCAAAATAAAATAGCAAAAACTAATTCCATGGAACCGGAAAAATTTACGACCAATCCATTTGCATAAAACATAACCATCACACAATAATTATACATCATATGCAAAAGTGCCTACCCTTTAAACATCTAAGAATTATCACATAATTTAAACGTTAAATTAACATGAAATAAAAACCGCTCTGATACCAATTGTTGGTTTCTCAAACCGGTTTGTTTTTAAAAATTGTGCGGAAGCGTGGTATCGATCGAATCAAATAAATCAAAATTTAATGCGATCATTATTTCATATTAATTTAACTACAAAGATATTAAAGAAATGAATGAGGATTTGACCGTCGTTCGATTAGGACGAAAATCTTGAACTCCTCCAACACCGTCTTGAGCTCTTAAATTTCAAGAACACCACGGTTCTTTCTCAATGTATCTCCGGATTAACGTGAACTTGAACGTATGGGCGTTCTAATGGGTTTCTCAACACATGAGATGGATGAATAAGGAAGCCACCTATAGTTATCACTCACTTTTCTCAAAAGTATATGATGACACTCAAGAAATTTTCTTTGGTTTTCTTTTGTTCTCCCGTTCCTTTTTTTTTTTCTTTCTATCTGTTCACTCTCTCGGGAAAAAAACTTTTTTTTTTCGTTACTTCACTTATGAACATCATTCATTCCCTTTTTGAGTAAATGTGCAACCGCACATTTCCCCCATTTCCTCGGGAGAGGAAACGTGCAACAGCCCGTTTCCTCCCACTCCTTTTTTTTTTTTGAGGAAACGTACACATGCACGTTTCCTTCCTTTTAAATATATATATATATATATATATTAATGAGGGGGAAGAAGGAAACGTGGAGAAAAAAAATCTCTCTAAATTCATCCATATTAATTTAAAACAATTTTAAATTAATTTTAATATTAATTAATCAAATTAATTAATATGTGTATTTAGAATTCTCAATTTTATATTAATAATCATAACCCAATATGATATATTCAGTTCACATTAATCTTATGGAGCTATTGAGAGGAACTATGGACATTATAATACATACGAATTAATCCTCCATAAACGGTTCATAATTAAAGCTAGGTATTTTCCGTTAATCTCTTTAATTATATCTTTCTCCATAAGTACCATTGATCCTCTAATGAATAATATATTTTATGATCCAATCATAAAATTGAGCGCTCTTATTATTCAAGTCCTGAATCAACACTTATGAGAACCGTCCATCTACTTCATTATGAAGGAATGGATTTCATCTTGTAAATTAATATTCCCGGCTATTTATTTTACTATGCTCCCAATATACCAAGACTTTAACACTATTCACATGTGTCATTACTCAATATGTCAAAGAACATAATATCATAAATAAGAGTTTATTAATTACTCAGAATTAAGATTAATACATATATGACCATCATTGATTAACATTGAATACTCTATTTAATAACGAAATTTATTAGAGATTCATAATTAATCGCGTTCCGGTCCTATGTAATCATATTACATAAAATGCTTTCACTCCAATAATCTCATTATTAACAATCTAGGATAAGATTGTTTCATTCAGAATGTAATGAACCGCATTAGAATTTTAAATTAAAGATCCCAACTTTAATTTATAATTACGGACAAGTTTAGATTATTTTATTTCAAACATTATCCTCTGCATATAACAATTATATACAATGTTTAAAGTTACATCAAAAAATAATCTAGGGATTTTGATATTTCTAAAAAATCACATGTATGCAAAATAATATTGAAAAAATTCCTCATTTCATTGATAATAAGCAAAATATTTACATCTTATTTTATTTATGGGCATATATCCCAACAGATGGATGGGCTGCTCTCAAGTGAGTGAACTCAAGTTCATGGCTTCAAAGCAAAAAGGACTCAAAGGTTCATATATATTTGGCTGGTGACAGCTCTGGTGGAAACATTGTGCATAATGTTGCTTTAAGAGCAGTGGAATCTGAAATTGAAGTATTAGGAAAAATCTTGCTCAATCCAATGTTTAGTGGGCAAGAGAGGACTTAATCTGAGAGACGGTTAGATGAGAAATATTTTTTTACCCTCCCCGACCGAGACCGGTACTGGAGAGCTTTTCTCCCTGAGGGCGAAGACAAGGACCATCCGGCGTGCAACCCATTTGGGTTCTACTTGTTGCCAATGAAGTCCACCGGGGCCGATGGAGTTTGGATTACTGGGAAAAGGCGAAGAAGAGGATGATCCATTTTTTGATGAAGATTTACCTGTCGAGTTCAAGAAGGCAAATTTAAGCGCTCTAACGCTTCTTTAATGGGCGAGGTTAATCTTAATCGTGGGGCTTTTAGCTTGTACTCTTTCGATTCATTATTTGAGGCACAAAAATCTGCTGAAATTGAAGATTTGGAAATGGGAGGTTCTGATCTTGGTTTTGATCTATGGGAGATTGGTCTCCGGTTGGGGAATTCGAATAGCTGTGTTAAAATGGGGTTTTTAACGCATTTGAGTTTTTTTAATAATTTTTTAATAATCTAAAGTTGTTGCATGTTAATTTATGGTAATACCATCCTCAGGATTATGTACTTGACACGTGGCGATTTCTGTTACTCATTATAACAGAATGATAAAACTTATTAATGAGACAAAGTTCGGGAGGAACGGATGTTACTTTTTAAAATTCGAGACGCAAAGTGTTATAATAGTCATAATTCGGGTGGAATTTTTGAAATTAATTTTTTTCTTTTTGATGCCGTCTTCACCCGTATTGTTCATTTTGTCGTTTATTATTTCTTGATGTCGTTTCCTTTTTAAATTGCTGTCGTTTGATGCCGTTTTCATTTGCTTGTCGTTTTTCCTTTCTCACCTCAACGTTTAAATTTCTTTAGCTTAATTGTCGCGCTTTACTTCCTGTCCTTTCGTTTTATTATCATCTTCTCATTATTGTTAATATCTTCCGATTTCGTTCCTTCATTTCTCGTCTATTCTTTTGTCGTTTTAGTGCATTTACTTCTTGTTGTCGTTTTTTTTTTCTCGTTTTAATGATTATCTTTCGTTTACTTTTGTTGTCATTTTCCTCGGGCATCGCTTCTCTATTTACTGTCGGTTTATTTGATTGTTGTTGTCTGTTTTTTCTGTCGTTTTATATCTTTGTCGTTTTCTTTTTACATTTTGGTAGTTTCATATTTTTGTCGTTTTATTCCGACGTTGTTCCCCATTTACGGTCCTCTACATTTGTCATTTTAAGCTTTCTATCGTTTCACCCTCTAATTCTACTGTTATTTTTCCATTACTTTTTATTGTCGTTTTATTTTGAATACTATAAACGGTCTCATTTGGTAGTTTCATCTTTTTGTCGCTTTATTCCGATGTTGTTCCCCATTTACGGTCCTCTACATTTGTCATTTTAAGCTTTCTATCGTTTCACCCTCTAATTCTACTGTTATTTTCTCTATTTACTTTTGTCGTTTTTCACTTTCTTTCTTTTTATTTTTTCCTATTCTTCACTTGTTCATTGTCGTGTACTTTTTTTATGTCGTCTTCTTCAGGTGTTTGTTTTTCCATTTACTGTTTACCCGCCAGGTGTTTGTTTTTCCATTTATTGTTTACCGGTTTTTGGTTTTCTGTCGTTCTACTTTATATTTTCTAATAAATAAAAAAAATTATCGTAGTCTCATTTATTGTTGTTTTTAGTTTTCTATCGTTTGATTTTATACTGTCGTTTTATCCCTTTAGTTTTTTTTTTTGGGTTGTTTTCATTTGGCTAGTGTTGTCGTTTTTCCTTGTTGCGGTTTTCTTCGCGTGTCGTTTCTTATTGTTCTGTCTACTGTTTTGCCGTCTTTACGTGAGGATGTTTTTTGGTTATCGTTTTCTTTATTGCTCACTTTTGTTGTCGTTTTCAGCCTTTGAATGTCGTTTCTCTCGCCTACCTAAGTGCATCACCTGTTACTGCTGTTTAACATTAGTTGTCGTTTTTATACGTGCTGTCTATGCTTTGTTATTTATCGTTTGTTTACTCTGCATTTTTGTTTTTGTCGCATTATTGTTGTCGTTTGAACTATTTTATGTCGTTTACTATTTTCATTTATTGTCTCATCCGTCGTCATCATTATAATTATTATTCATTAGTTTTTATTGTGATAGAATGCTGTCGCCATTAATTTTTTAACTGAAAATGTTGTCGCCATATTTGTTACTCGTAGCCCCATTACATAATTAGACGTACATATGTTGCATTTATGTTTGTTTTTTTTATAAAAAAAAAACTTTTCGACGCAAAAAAAATTATTAAAAAAGAAAAAGTTTTTTACAAATCTAATCCATAAAACGTACTAACAAAAAACAAAAAGATCCACAAATTATTATATTTAAGAAAAAATAACTATTTTCACAATCTAAATCCTTTTCTACTGCCTGTAAGTTTTTCCTTTTTTTTTTTATAAAAAAAAGTTGTTTTAAATTTGTTTAGAAACGATAAATCACTCTCCATAATGATGTCGACAATAATATTTTTAATATATTTATATTAAAAAAACAGTTTTTTAATATGTATAAATGCTAATAAAAAATTTCAAGTTAATCATTGTCGATTTATCTTGTTAATAACTCCTGATCGCTGAGCAGTCAACAGCATGACGTCAGTCTACGTTAGTATCCAATGGAATCATCCCACGTGTCAATCAGATGTAATAAGTGGACGTCAAAACTGACTATCAACTAAATTTGATAAGGAGCAGGTTGGGGTCCGCTCTGAACCAGTAGAATCAGGCAAACAGGGAGCATCCTATAAAGGGTCTCACTTAGTCAAACTCAAAAGAAACGTCTTTGAAACAACCAAGGCATTTTTTTTTTAATTATAAAAAAAAAAACCAAGGCATATTTTTTTTCTTTTTTTTCCTCCCCTAACTTTTTGTTTTCTTTTTTTTTTTTGTTTTCCTTTTTCTCCTTTAAAAATCAAGCATTTTAATTTTCTGGGCAGAAAATTGTTTTTGGGTTTCTATTTCTGTAACTAAAAAAAGCTGTTTTGGATCGGCGAGCTTGCAAAATGTGAGGGACTTGCAGCTTCTCAGGTATACACTTTTTTTTTTTCCTTCTTCTTTTCAATGTGTAACATTAAGTTTGGCTGCCGAGAAAGCAAAAGAAAATAAAAAGTTTTTGTTTGGCTGCCGAGAAAGCTTTTGTTTCTGGGCAAAAAGAAAAGGAAAGTGAAATGCGGCTGACCTGAGCTTTAGTATATGTAAGAGTTTCTTGTAGCTTACAAGGTTAGGAAAAGTCTTAGATTAGTTGTTTTGTTTATCTTTTTTTTTTCCTTTTGTTTATTTTCTTAGCTATGAATAAAAGTTATTTATTTATTTTTCAAAGCTGTGAAACCAGACCAAGCATTTTGTTTTTGTTCTTTTAGGTATCTTTTGTTGTTCTCTTATTTATTATGCGAATAGTAGAGTTGTGTTGATGATGGTCACGAATACGTGACAAATGGGTTTGAGCTTCATGACTTTTTCTATAAATGGAGATAAAAACAGAAGAAAAAGAACAAGGAAGGACATAAATTTAATAGCGGTGTATTGGCTAAGTTACAGGAAAATATATAAATAATTTAGATGCACGAATTCTTTATTATTGTGCGCAATAAAATCACAGAAGAAAAACTAACGAACTAGAGTAGTGATTCACCCTCAATGTGAGAGTGGACATCCTCAGTGTGAAGGTTATGCCCACTTTCGACCGTTGCAATAATTTGTTTTGATGTAGAACAAGTTTACAAGAGAAATTGCGCGCTTCTCAGACTTTCTCTAGCCTCTCTCCTTATCCAAAAACGGCACCCCCTTAATATAATGAAAACCAGGACAACCGAAATTTTACCCCGTCCTCTCACCCTAGGGAGTGGGGCTTTCTGCACATCTTCCAACCCCATGACGACCTTACCGCGAAGGTCGATCCGTGTATACATCAATGCAATGATTAGGATCCATGGCTGGACACTTTCTTTTTCTTGATTTCAGGTTCTAAAGGTCAATCGTGTTCACTCAGTCTGTTGTTTCTAAGGGTGTGCAAACAAACGTATTGCCTCTGTTACATAGACATACTACATATATATGGCTTCTGCTGGTGCTGCTCCTGCTTCCACTGTTGGAAAACCGGGTGGCAATACAGGTTTTGCTGATAAGCTTCCAGATGAAATCAATGAAATGAAAATCAAGGATGAAAAGGCTGAAAAGGTTGGTTTCTCTTGGACTCGGAGATTTACATGTGTTTTTTGTATTTCTCATTCATTGTTTTACAGTTTTTTCTTTGTGGCAGGAAGTGGAAGCAGCAGTAGTCGATGGAAATGGAACTGAAACCGGCCACATTATAGTAACTACCATTGGCGGTCGAAATGGTCAGCCTAAACAGGTGGGTTTAGAGAAGATATCTAACTGTACGAGGCTACTTCTGATTAAAATAAGAAGATTCGGTTGCTTTGATATTTTAGCTAACAGCTAGAGCTCCGAGCACTAACTCATGTTTGGTATTGTTCTGCAGACTATAAGTTACATGGCGGAGCGTGTTGTTGGACAGGGCTCGTTTGGTATAGTGTTTCAGGTGATGTTTCAATACAAAAGCTTAAGTTTTAACCAGTTGTTGTTATTAGCTTTAGTACGAGAAAAGTATGCAGTTTTGGAATAGGAGTTCCTATAAAATTGAAGCCCTCTATTGTGTTGGTTTTTGCAGGCTAAGTGCCTAGAAACCGGAGAAACTGTTGCAATCAAGAAGGTTTTACAGGACAAGAGGTATAAGAACCGCGAGTTGCAAACAATGCGCCTTCTTGATCATCCTAATGTCGTGTCGCTAAAACACTGCTTCTTCTCAACCACGGAAAAGGACGAGCTCTATCTAAATTTGGTACTTGAATTTGTACCTGAGACCATTTATCGTGTGGCAAAGCACTATAGCAAGGCAAATCAGCTGATGCCTCTGATATATGTGAAACTATATACATATCAGGTTGCCTACGAATTTCTTTTCATAACTTTGTTATGGTTAACATTATAGTATAAATTTAGCTTAGTTTGCATTTAAGAGTCATGACTTGGTTGGCACATTATGATTTTAAGCATAAAAAGCATCTGATAGTTGGTTTTTCCTTAGATACCCAATAATTTGTAACTTTAAAGTTATGTTTCGTTTTGTAGATTTGTAGAGCTTTGGCATATATTCACGGAGGAATTGGAGTATGCCACAGGGACATCAAGCCACAGAATCTTCTGGTTTGTATTTGACATTCGAGTTCTTTTCCCTCATTGCATGGTTGAGTGCCGTGGACCAATATGCTCTGTTGTTTCAGGTTAATCCCCATACTCATCAGGTCAAGCTGTGTGACTTTGGAAGTGCAAAAGTTCTGGTATTCATTAATTTTCTTCTGAATTATTGATCACTTATAAGAACACCTTTCGTCACGTCTACCTAGCTTTTATGCTTAAACAGTTAGACTTGCTCCATAATGCTTGTCCTACCCATTGCCCTTAAGGCGCTTTATTAATAATAATAATAATTATTATTATTTTCCGGATTTTTTTTGGCAGTTCTAGCAGTGTCATTGACCCTTTTTTCTTTTCTCATATTGCATTTGTGACAGGTCAAAGGAGAGCCAAATATATCATATATTTGTTCGCGCTATTACCGAGCACCGGAGCTCATATTTGGGGCAACTGAATACACTACTGCAATTGACATTTGGTCTGTGGGATGTGTCCTTGCTGAACTGCTTCTTGGACAGGTTTTCTACGAATAGAAATTTCTCTTCACTTGTGTTTACTTGGTCAAGTCGAAATGTTTATATGGAATATCTGCCTCTTATTTTGACAATCCAATTTGCAGCCACTCTTTCCAGGTGAAAGTGGAGTAGATCAGCTTGTTGAGATTATTAAGGTAAACTTTTGTCGGCCTTGTGATCTTGAATGTAAAACGTGTGATCTGATCACAGGTTAAACTGAACGAGTGCAATTCTTCTCTTGTTTGTGGTTAGGTACTTGGCACTCCAACTCGCGAAGAAATCAAATGCATGAACCCGAATTACACCGAATTCAAATTCCCACAAATCAAGGCTCATCCTTGGCACAAAGTGAGCACCTTAATTTAGTTTGTGCGCTGCCCATTATTCCTCTTCAGTGATTCCTTAACATGTTATTTTGCTTTAATGTACAGATATTCCATAAGCGCATGCCTCCAGAAGCAGTAGATCTTGTGTCAAGACTTCTTCAGTATTCTCCAAATCTAAGATGCACTGCTGTATGTACATTGCCACCTTGTTTTTTGAAAAATGCATTGAATTTTCTCCTGAGAGTTTTCGTTTTCTCTTGGCAGTTGGAGGCTTGTATCCACCCGTTTTTTGATGAACTCCGTGATCCCAACGCCCGTCTCCCTAACGGGCGGCCCTTGCCGCCTCTTTTCAACTTTAAACCGCAAGGTGTGTTCTTTTCCTCAAATTCAACGACTCTCTATGCTAGTAAGTACATTGGCTAATAACATGACATTTGCGGCAGAACTGAAGGGAGCAACTCTGGAGCTCCTAGTGAAGCTGATACCGGAGCATGCTCGTAAGCAATGCCCTTTCCTCGGTTTCTAGATTGTTTCGACGAGTCTGACTGGAACAGGTGGTGATTGTACTTGCTATAAAATTCTATCCGCCATTGTCGTTTGAGGAAATTAGGAAGAGCTTCTTCTCTATTTATAGGAGGATTGTTTGCTTTTGAAAATACATGTTACAGATAAAAAAGCATTTGGCTGTGGATACGCTGTTAAAATTTGTGAGTAGTAATTAGGTTGATCTTGTATGTATAACTTTATATCTCACTAGTTGTTCAATGTACATCTCTCTCTCTCTCTCTCTCTCTCTCTCTCCCCCCTTCATAACTAGATTCACATATTTATCTGTCTGAATTTAAGTCTGTATTATGCGGCAGTGTGCTATTGAGGATTGGTGATGAATACTCATCAGATTTGATGATCTCACAGACTTGATAACCGTTTTATATAAAGTTCAGAGAATTTTATGATAGGCAATGAAGTAATACCTTATTGGTAGGATGTAGTTTTACTGTCAAATAAAATTTAGATATGATTTTTAACCCTATGGAATCATATCAGATTAAACAAAGGTCATGTTTAGAGTTAGTTTTGTTTTTTGTTTTTTTTACAGGGAAATGACGTTTGACACAATTAAAGATAAAAAATAAAAATAAAAATAATTTTTTGATTTAGTATAAAATAAGAGAGAAATGAAAAATAATTTTTAGTCATTTTTTATTTTTTGTTTCCGTTTTCTCCTTTGTCGAGCACAGAGAAAGAGAAAGTGACATTAATAGATTTTTTTATATTAAAAATAATCTCTTGATAAAATTATTAAATGTATTTTTAAAAATAATTTTTATCTGAAATTAAAAATATTTTTATTTTTATTTTCATATAAAAAATAAAATTATTTTAAAATGAGTTTTTAACGTATCCAAAGTATCTAGATTTTAATGGAAACTCTAGTTGTCAAATGCGTATAGTAACACCCTTATACAATAATACAAATAAGGAACTCATTTATTGGCAAAGGTTTATTTCATTTCATTAAAAATATATATATAACAGAATAAAAATGAAAAAAAAAAGAAGGAAAAACAGACGCAATAAGATAAAATTCATTTAAACGAGTCGGTCATTGACTCATTGGAGGAACTTGGAAGGACCCTTTGGAATTGGATGCTTCCACCAGCTGAAAGCAGAACAAGCGTTTTGGTTGGAAAATGACCCCATTACGCTGATGCAGGAGTTTCAAAAGAGTAAAACCTGTTTTTAATTGCGATCGTAACTAATAGAAAGTGGGTCCTATTTTAAAAGAATAAAAAGTAAAATAACGTCTGATCAATTCACATTGATTGATGAGTTGGTTGAATCCACCTATGTGCCTATGAAAAGTGTGAAAAATAATTAAAAAAGGTTTGTAAATCTGACAATAATATTGTTACTTTATATATTGTGTCATGTCATGTTAAAAAGGAGGAGAGAGAAAGAGAATTTTGTGAATGTATACTCTCAGGAGAGTATACAAATAAGATACTCGCTCTTATCACTTTTATTATTGAGTGGTCGTCTAATTCTCACGCTATTACAAAATAAATTGACTAAACACTCATTTAAGTTTTTAATTTTAATTTTGTTATGGTTAAAATTTTTTATAAAAAGTTACATTTAATTTTTATTTGTTAAAATAAAAAATTTTCATATAAAATTACATCTTAATTTAAATTAAAAATTTTAATTTATGAATTGAACGAGGTTTAAGATTATTCTAACCCAATCTAAAACCAAATGTTCAATGATTTTAATAAAATTAGAAATTAAACCGATAGAAAAAACACCGTTACAAACCAGATTCATTGTGAGGTATGAATCCCATATCCTATTACTGGAAAAGCACCCACATATAAAAAATGGTAGAAATTTTCTAAAAAAGAAATGGTAATAAATTAATAACTAAATGATAAAATTCCTTTAAAAAAATAATCAAATAAAATTGCAGCCGAAAAATATATATATATATATATTTTGGAATCAGCCGAAAAATAATTAACAGATCATCATAATAAAGGAGATTCAGGGAAGTGGCTGATTTTAGGGGAGATAATTGAAAAAATGGTTGAAATTTATAATAATATGTTAAACCGCGAATTATCTCAAATCGCTAATATATATATATATATATATATATATATATGTAGTATACAAATCCGCTGAAAAGAAAATTACAAATTTACGTACCATCTTCTTTGTTAGCACCAATACTGAGGTATCAGCGAGTACCGAAATTGGTTAAGTTCATAAGCGTGGGCGTTATTCCCTTCCCACCATTTCCCTCAAAACCAAATTCTGCCTATCGGAAACGGACCAAATTTCCCGTTTGGTCTTCGTTCCTAAATCCCCCAATTTCTCCCATTTCCCAATTCTCTCTCTCTCTCATATCCACATTCTCTCTCTAGAATCTTCTGGTTCTTGGTTCTCTGCATGTAGTCCTCTCTCTCCTTTGATTGCATTGCTAATCCTTTCAACGGCTTAGCTCTGCAATTTCTCACCAACTTGCCCTAATTTGACGCCAGAAAAACGTCTTTCGCATTTTCGGTGAGGTTCTTTCGATCAGTTGTTCTCTTCTTTTTGTTCATCTCGCCTGTAAACAAACCCGGTTAATTTGTTGGTTTTTCTATGTCAAACTGTGCGATTAATTTGTTGGTTAGTTTATTGGTTTTGAAGGACTAATTTTTTCTGTTGATTTTTTTGAACAGCTTGGATTTGTCCGCTGGGGTAGCAATAGTACTAAAATGGTACGTTTGCTCATTTGATTTTCTACCTTTCCTTGTTTTTGTTCTGCATCTGTAATTGTTCTCTTTTTTTTTTTTTTCCAAACATAATTGTTTTACCTGGCAAAGAAATGGGTTTAGGAAAAGGTTGGAAAAAAGAAATAATTTTTGCTTAATTTTCTCGTTCATATGGGTGTTTATTTATAAAATATGTGCAGGACGGTAATACTTCTGATGTAGATAGTGAGAATATTGACTGGGACACTGAAGATGAATTGGAAATTGCAAACATTCCATTATCCTGTTCAAGTTTGACAGTTCCTAGTGGAATTGCTGCAATTGGGTCTGGTGAGGTATGTGATTTTGCAGAGCTATTCACAAATTTCTTGTTTAGTTTGGGGAAGTTTCTACGTTTAGTGGGTTTTTTTCTCTTTTTTGTTTGAATATATATATACGCACACACATATACACATGTGTATGTATATATTTCAAGGTATTTAATTTACTTCTCAACTTTTGTAGATACCTAAGTTTTGTTGATTGTTGAACTAGTTTTATGGAAGAAATGTGTACTTTGATTTCCTTTCAATTTTTAGTTTTGAAGACCAATGTGCACTCTCATATCATTTTCTCTAGTTGTATTATACATTGGCTTCTTTATAATTTGAGGGTATTTTACTATTTGGATTTTCCATACACTTCCCGCTTTGTTTTTCTTGTGACTTTATATAATGATGTGAATTGGCAAATCTACATTCTTAAAGGCGGGTCCATCGGCAAGCTCTTCTGGGTCCAAGATCCTGGACAATTTTGTAGGGATGGGCTTTTCTGAGAAGATAGTGGCTGAAGTAATTCAGAAGCATGGTAAAGGCTCTATCTCATTTCATTTGGAACTAATTTTTTTTCTGTGAAGCTTCATTGGTGACCTGTTATTTTGTATCATCTAGGGGAGGAAAATACGGACACTATTTTACAGACGCTTCTCACATATACAGTGAGTTACCTAAAATCTCTTTTTTGTTGGTATAAATAATGGAATTATTATTTGGATGGTAAAGTTGGTGATTTTATAACTAGACTAATGTCTAGTCATCCTTTGTTCTTAAAGGCGAGTTCATCTGCAAGTTCTTCTGGCTCCAAGATCATAGACCATTTTGTAGGGATGGGATTTTCTGAAAAGCTGGTGGCTAAAGTAATTGAGGAACATGGTATAGGCTCTATCTCATTTCATTTGGAAACAGTTTCTATTGCGAAGCTTCATTTAGTGACTTGTTCTGTTGAATCATCCAGGAGAGGAGAATACAGACACTATTTTGGAGACGCTCCTCACATATTCAGTAAGTTAATTAACATCCCTAGTTTCCATATGATATCTTTGAACTCAAGTTAAAATGTTTGCTGTTGAAACGCTTAGTTTTAATCTTTTTTTTTTTTTTTTTTTTTCCTTCCTACCACTGATTTAACTAATAGTAACATCCCTAGTTCTCATATGATATCTTCAAAATCCAAGTTAAAATGTTTGCCGTTAAATCTTTCCCCTTGAGGTCTCACATGGTTCAATTTGTTAGCAGTCAAACAATGGATTTATTTTTGTACTCGTTCATCTGTTGATAAAATCTATATTACTCACCAAAAGGGTTATCATTTCACTATTACTATAAAGCATTAGTATGCATATCTTCAAACATCTCCTTTCATGAGCAAATAAATCCACATTTTATATCATGTTTTGTTTTAGGTATAATTTTCTGCAATTTATTTTGCAGGCTCTGGAAACATCTCCTGAAGAACAACATACTGAACGTGATACATCTCCTGAAGAACAACAAATTGACTGTGATAACTTTTCTTCAGATTTTGAAGGGAGCTCTTTAAATGATTTTTCGGATATTGATAGTTTTTCTGATGATGAGGTGATCAAACTTTCTTTAGTTGTTGATGTGTGGTTTTCTTAAGAAGCTACTTATGACTTGTCTTCTATAGATTCTGACTGTTAACTTTGTTTTATAACTTTATTTTTCTTAGGTTCTAGGTGCACGTGCACTTGTATGTTCATGTTTGTGTATGCAACTTCGTTCTTGCAATGTGTATGGACTCTCAAATAATTTGACTTGTCCTGCAGGTTATCACAAATCCTGTTTCTGACCAGGAGAAAAAAGTAGTGGCCTTGATGGGTATGGGGTATACAAAAGCAGAGGCTTCAACTGCAATAGAAAGATGTGGTGTGTATACTAATTATGTTACGTTATTAATATTAAATTTTCTCGTACACATCTAGTTTGATAATTACTTGTGAGTCTATTCATTTATTTGTCATTTCTTTCTTAATCTCTTATTTTGCCCCTCTCAAACATCACAGGTCTTGCCTCCACGCTCGCTGAGTTGACAGATTTTATATATGCTGCACAGATGGCAAAGGAAGCATACGGGGATTATCCCCTTGAAGTGCATGTATTATTTTGTATTCTTTTTCCTATTTTGTGATTTCAATATCAAGTTTTCTCAGTTTTCCAACGTACTCTCTTTTTATCTAGTATCACCAAGTTCAGGAGGATAATGACTGATTCTTTCTCAATTTCACAGCCTAGGCCAAATGGTGAGAAAAAGAGGAAATTTGATGAGATGTTGAAAAAGAAATGTAAGAGGGGATCAGAGAGGAGGGCTATGACTGAAGACGATGAGCTAATTCGTCCTCCAAATCCAATGATTGGATTTGGCGTTCCAACTGAACCATTCCAACAAGTTCATAGAACTCTTCCAGAGGCTGCAATTGGTCCACCCTACTTTTACTATGAGAACGTGGCACTCGCTCCCAAAGGGGTTTGGAGCACTATTTCCCGATTCTTGTATGATGTGGAGCCAGAATTTGTTGATTCAAAGTTTTTCTGTGCTGCTGCAAGGAAACGGGGTTATGTCCATAATCTTCCAATTGCAAACAGATATCCTCTTCTTCCTTTTCCTCCACGCACCATAAATGACGCACTACCATTGACCAAAAGATGGTGGCCTGAATGGGACACGAGAAAAAAGCTCAACTGCTTGCAAACTTGTGTTGGAAGTGCAAAACTGACAGAAAGAATCAGGAAAGCTCTAGAGGATTATGATGGGGAACCACCTTTGAGAGTCCAAAAGTATGTTCTTGAGGAATGCGTCTGGGTTGGAAGGAACAAGCTTGCACCGCTTGAACCTGATGAAGTGGAAATGCTTTTGGGATTTCCAAGGAACCACACAAGGGGAGGTGGAATAAGTAGGACGGATAGATACAAGTCTCTTGGTAATTCTTTCCAGGTAAATTACTTGCTTTATTAATTCTTACTAATGCAATAATTTTTCTTCTTGGCTCTGAAAAGGCAAGCAATTGTAATTGTCTTTGATTGCAGGTTGATACCGTAGCATACCATCTATCAGTCTTGAAAGAAATGTATCCAAATGGCATCAACCTCCTCTCTCTCTTCTCCGGGATTGGTGGTGCAGAAGTAGCCCTTCATCGCCTCGGAGTCCCTCTTAATAATGTGGTTTCTGTTGAGATTTCAGAGGTGAACAGAAATATAGTAAGAAGTTGGTGGGACCAAACAAATCAGAAAGGAAATTTGTTCGACCTCGCCGATGTGCAGCAGCTGAATAGTGATCGCTTGGAGGAGTTCATGAGCAAATTTGGTGGTTTTGATCTCGTAGTTGGTGGAAGCCCATGCAATAATCTCGCCGGCAGTAACAGGCATCACCGGGATGGGCTCGAGGGTAAGGAGTCCTCACTTTTTTATGATTATTTTAGAATTCTAGATTTGGTCAAGTGTATAATGTCTAGAGATCAATAGCTCCAATGTAATTCTCTTCTTTATTTGTCCCCTGTTCTTCTTCCCTTTAACCGATACATTGAAAGCTAAGAACACTTGCAAGTTTCTCAAGGGAAAATGAAATTGGGATTGGAATCTCTAAATTTAGATCAAATCATCATGTATATCTTTTCTTGGTCAATTGTCATGGACAGAATAGATCAGATTACAATTGAGAAATAAGTTTCTTCATTTATCTCAAAAATTTCAAGGATAAGCCTTTTTTTTTTTTTGGAAAATTTCACTGATAAGCTGTTCTTCATTTTTTTGTTTATTTTTTCACTAGTGATTTGAGATGCCAGCTTATTATTATCCTCGTTAAACAAATGATTACCTTGTCAACAGACCAATACAGAATTTGGATAAAATTACCATCTCCATTTCTTTCTTGAATCATTGATCATTTATTGAATAAATTAATTATAAAATCTTTTTTGCAGTAAAACAATTTGAGTGGAATCTGTTTCCCACCCTTGAGTCTATAATAATGGTTCACGTATTTAATAAGGTTACTATGCTAATCAAATAAATATGCTATTCGAATAAATATGCGATACCTTTTCTCTACTTTTGGAAAGCTAGTAAAATGAGATGCCATTACTCTACTTTTATAATTCTTTGAATGATTCACATTGGTTCCTTCACAATTAAACAAACTAACGTCTTTATGGAAAAAGAGGAGCATTTCCAGGTCAAATAATTTAAATTTTCACTCTTTTTATTTTCGCTAAAGAATGATGGTATGAGAAGTGATGAATGTTAATGTAACACTTCAAAATTTAGCATAAAGATATAAGTTATTTCTTAAACAATATAAGATTTTTTTTTTCTTTCATCATTTTTATGGTGACTTAAGTGGTGTAGAATTAAGGTTGAACATGGGGCAAATGGGGTGAGCTCTTAGGGATTTTTTTAACCCATTTAAAGATTGATTTACAGTTTAACCTACCTAAACAACCCAAACATGAGATATCAACCTATCCAATATAAAAGGCTAGACTTCATAATAAAAAAATTGAAACCAACTTCAAATAAAAAGTATAAGAAACATAAAATCCCTAACATTATATTCTCTATTACACGTTCCAATCTAGTTTCATCCTCTTAAGAATTACAAAAAAAAAAAAAAAAAAAAAAAAAAAAAAAAAAAAAAAAAAGAGAAAAATAAAATATCAATAATAAAAAGTCAAATTGAAAATTAATAAACATAATAAAAAATAAATGAAATAGAGATCCTTTCGTTGGAATGTAAGAAATGTAAACAAACATGTTAAACAATTAACAATCTCCAAGCAAAACTGACATATGGTTTTGCAAATTTACATTTTATCATAAATTTAATTTTTTTTAAAAAAAAATTATAATTCAGTGGGGAGTTTTTCTGCAGTTGTGAAAATTTGAACTCATCCTGTTCAATGAAATTTTGGGTTGCACAGTTAACCCGACTTAAGATTCGGTTGAAGCAAATCCTACTTGCTTATATTTGAGTGGATTAAGTGAGTTACTTGAATCACTATTTTTTGTTAAGTTTTTAAACATAATCCTTTTCTTTTCTTTTCATTTTTAAGCTCAAGGGTGAGAGTATTGAAACTCTAATGTTGTACACAAATATAAAATTACTGTTAAACTATTGCCTCGTTCGTTTCGTTAGTTCGAGTTTTAAACTTGAGTTAAGAAGCAAATTTATGTAAAAGAAAACACTATAGTAAAGTTAAATTTAAATTTTTATGAGAAAAAATATATAGTAAAAATTTGAGTTGTAATTTTAATTAATGAAACGAATGATGCTTATATACACATCCACAACATAATTCTAAAAATAATACAAACTCAAAAGCTAAAAAATGTAAAAATAAAGAGCATTTCTAATTTTCTCACAACTTTATTTCTTAATTATTAGAGAAAATTATTCTCCAAAAAAAAAAATAAAAAAAAATAAAAAAAAAATTAGAAAAAATCAGTAGTCAAGACACCAAAAGTGGGCCTAACTGAAGCCCAATCAAAACGGCAACTGGCCAACAACCACCCCGATCTGGCCATTTCTCTTTGATGACTTAACCATGGTCAAGCTAACCTAACCACGGCAGCAAACCCAACGTAGGCCACCTCACCTTCTATTTCCATCGCCTATAAATACTACCACAAGTACCTTCGCTTGTCTTTCCTTTCTATCTCTACGCTTTCTCGCCCTTCGGAAGCGTAGTTTTCTCTGCAGAAGGGTTCGTTTCTCAGATCCCATTTTCTTATCTCCATTTCTCGCTGTCCGTTTCCATCAATTTTTACGGCGAGTTGACGAGGTAAGCTTCAGATTTTCGCAGCTTTTGCTGTTCTCCGATCTCTTAAACTTGATTTTCGTGAATTTTTTGGTCCTGAGCTTGATCGGATATGGGGGATTCTAGGGTTTCCTGCAAGTTTGAAATTTGTACGCTTTTTGGTGTCCTAGGAGGAAGTTCGAGTCTGCTTGCATGTTTGATTTTTGGTTTTCTTTGCTTCGGTTGCTTGGTTTGGTTGAAGTTTTGTATATATACACACACACGTATATGTTTAGCTGAAGAAGATCTCGTGATTCTTTATTTTGGGTCTTTTGTTGGTTTTATTCTGGTTGTTGCGATCTTGGTTTCATTTTTTTTTTCATAGAGAGATGATCTTTCAATCCTTAAGTTCGCAAGTTCAAACCTGACCATTTTCCTAGAAACATGATTCATGTCTTTCTTCGCCATGGTTATTTTGTTGAGCCTAATTAGTCACGTTAAAGTAGGCTCTGCCCCGACTTACTGGCCAATATGATTTGTTTCTGAGATTGGACTAGTGTTTGGATTGTCTGGGCCGTTTATTTTTTGTCCTGATCATTATTTTTCTTTCCTTGAGTATGATGATTTGGATTTGATTTTGGTTCTTTTCCCTTGTATCTTGATTGTCTTAGTGTGGGTCTCTTGCCATGGCTACCGTTGCTGCTATTTCAGGACCGCGATATGCTCCAGAGGATCCAACTCTCCCCAGTCCTTGGAGGGGACTGGTTGATGGAAAAACTGGATATCTCTATTTTTGGAATCCCGAGACCAATGTGACCCAATATGAGAGGCCAATCGGTTCGGGTCCTCCTCAGAAGTCCTCTTCAGTGCTTATAAGTTCTTCAGTTCACATTCAACAGTCTTCTCAAGGACAACGTTCTAGTAATCCTAACGAGGACAAGGATAGCTATGAAAGAGGTAGCAATGATGGATCAAAACTTGATGCTGCATCAAGGAGCCAGCAGGTAGAAATTCTTGTTTATCTCTTGAAAAGTCGTGTGGCACAAGTGTGGAATCCATTACTATTGTTACTACTTACCTATTTAAGTGATGTAATCAAGTTGCACATATTTTCCTTTTCTTGGTCATGTCATCCTTGTTAAACTGGTTTGTGCTATGTCCAGTGGTGGTTTCCTTTTTGCGAGCCATAGCAGGATTCTTAAGACTCGTGCATGGTGAATTTGCATTTAGAAGCATGTTGCTGTTTGCAGGATATTGTTTCTTTTAGATGAATTTTATTAAACGTTTTGGGTTTGTTCACCAAGTAAAATGCCTTCTCTTAACTTATTAACGTTGGATTCTTTCTCAATTGCCTTATCGCAACAGTCTTATGACGAGAACATTAACATGCCAAATGTGATGGCTTTATGAATAATGTGTTAACTTATACCAAATGAAACTTGAGATAATGTAAAAGACACTTAGGGCTTGTATTACACTGGGCTTTGTATTATTATTATTATTTTTTTTGTTGACTTAATTATTCTTTTTACTTGCATTAGACAAGAGGTGCACCTGCACCATCCCAAAGTGCTGCTCGAGCTGGAGTGGTTTCCTCTAGCAGTGCTGTAATTGGGGTTTTTAGTGCTGGACATGGAGGTTCTGCAAGAGGACAGGGACCATTGGACGGAGGGAGTGGTTTGTCTGCCGAGTCTTATCGTCGTCGGCATGAAATTTCTGTTACTGTGAGTTTAACGAACTGTTTAATCTACTATATGTTTCAATTCTCTCTCTGTCTCTCTCTGTGTGTAATTTAACTTACACGATTGACAATATTTTTATGTTTTTATCATTTTTGTTAGGGTGACAATGTGCTACCACCTTTCACATCATTCGAAGCTACTGGATTTCCATCAGAGATGCTTAGAGAGGTATCAGACTTGCACGTCGCAGTTATTAAATTTTTTCATCTTTATGCTACAATGATGGCTAGGAACTCCAGTGAGTTTGCTAGAACTATGTAACAAAACTTCTTCTTGTGCAAAGTTCTGTCCTTGCTGGAGGTCCAATGTAGAGTTTCAGACTCATCTTAATTCATTTGCCATCTGTACTTTTTTGTCGCAGGTGCGATGTTTGCTCCCTGGAGGAGCTAATGTCGTACGCTGTGCTGCCCTCTCTTCCGGGGGCCTTGCATTTTATTTGGAGTGCCCTTATTCGATGGACGAATTCTTTTGAAGGGCTTTCCGAATCACCCAAGTCTGTGGCGGGGACTGCCGTTGGTGATGATTTAGTCTGCCACTCAGTCCAAATGAAAGAAGAGGCCTCCTCCTACTCCAGCTTGCATTCGCAAGCACTGGTGACCTGCCAATGGAGGATGATGCTTCTTCTGGCATTTTTCACTCTTCTATGAGTTCACTACTGTACAAGTCCCAAAAGGGAAAAAAAATGTATATACATATATACGTGTGATATTGCAGCGAGATCATCTGCTTATCGGGGCTGGTGGTATTTTTCTTTATCCAGGTACAAAATGCAGGATTCTCTGCTCCAACTCCAATTCAGGCACAAGCCTGGCCAATTGCTCTTCAAAGTAGAGATGTAGTTGCCATTGCTAAGACAGGATCTGGGAAAACCTTGGGTTACTTGTTTCCAGGATTTATGCATCTCAAGCGCAGTCACAATGACTCTCGATTAGGTCCAACTGTGTTGGTATTATCACCAACTAGGGAGCTAGCTACACAGATACAAGATGAAGCGGTGAAGTTTGGAAAGTCATCAAGAATATCTTGTGCGGTATGTAATGTTGCATGAAATCTTTAATATATGAATGATGCTGCCTTTTTTTTTAGATTCGTAGGCCTGTAATCTTTAGTATATTTTCTGTTCTTGTATTGAGTAAATTGATTTTTTCCCCTTTTTGCGGCAAGTTCTTTAAACAAATTCATCTGTTTCTTTGTCCCATTTGTGTTCCCATGGAATTTTGTTTTGTTGCTTGGATAGGTGAAGGATTTGTGGTAAATGTGTGGAGTTTGATCATGTGATAGCACTCTTGGCTGAGATCAAATTTGGAAAAGTTAGTAGGGATACTTGTGTAGGAAAGAAGTAATATTTGTAATTGTCCGTAGACTTTGTACATTGAACCTCTCCTCTTATTTGTTTTATCTTATTTTCACTCTGGAGTCCTTCCAATAATAGATCTTGTGGCATGCATATGATTTGGGTATTATCATTGGCGTTCTCACATGCTTTTGCTTTGGTTCTCAAGTGTTTATATGGAGGAGCACCAAAAGGCCCACAGTTAAGAGATATAGACCGTGGAGCAGATATTGTTGTTGCCACTCCTGGTCGCTTGAACGATATTCTCGAGATGAGGAGGATCAGCCTCAATCAAGTTTCTTACCTTGTGCTGGATGAGGCTGATCGCATGCTCGATATGGGTTTTGAACCTCAAATAAGGAAGATTGTGAAGGAGGTTCCTGCTCGTCGCCAGACTTTAATGTTCACAGCAACATGGCCGAAAGAGGTTCGGAAGATTGCAGCAGATCTACTTGTTAATCCTGTCCAAGTGAACATTGGCAATGTTGATGAACTTGTTGCTAACAAGTCTATCACGCAGGTCTTAACTCTGAACATTGTTTGGATTTTTTTTTTTATAAATGAAATCTGTTTATTCTATGTTGTTTCATGTTTGCTAACCCCGTTTACATTTGGTGTTGCAGCATGTTGAAGTACTGCCACCCCTGGAAAAGCACAGGCGATTGGAGCAGATATTGCGATCGCAAGAGCCAGGATCAAAGATGATTGTTTTTTGTTCAACTAAAAAAATGTGCGATCAACTTGCTCGTAACCTTGCTCGCCAGTTTGGAGCTTCTGCTATTCATGGAGACAAATCCCAGAGTGAAAGGGATTTTGTGTTAAATCAGTTTCGAGCTGGCAGGACTCCGGTGCTTGTAGCCACTGATGTTGCAGCCAGAGGGTTAGACATTAAGGATATCAGGTTTTTGACTGCCCAATTTTTTGTGGTTCTGTAGTTTAGCATCACTCTTTCGTTGCATCACTCCCACAGTGATATTGTTCATCACACCCTTTCTTATAGTCATTAATTTTTCTCGCAGGGTGGTTATCAATTATGACTTCCCTACAGGAGTAGAGGATTATGTTCATAGGATTGGAAGGACTGGAAGAGCAGGTGCTAGCGGAGTGGCTTACACATTCTTTGGCGACCAGGACGCAAAGTATGCTTCAGATCTTATCAAAGTATTGGAAGGTGCCAACCAGCGAGTCCCATCAGAAATTCGTGATATGGCCTCACGTGGAGGTGGGATGTCCAAGTTCAGACGCTGGGGTTCTGGTTCTGGTGGCCGTGATGGGGGTCGTGGAGGATACAGTGATTCAAGTTATGGTGGAAGGGATGGTGGAAGGGGTGGTGGAAGGGATGGTGGAAGAAGCGGCTGGGGATTTTCCTCTGGTTCACGTGACAGGTACACACGATTGTGGGGGCCGTTCATTATAGTTTTGTTGCGTCATATGTTCATGAATTTTTTGATGTTTTTGCTTGCCGTGTCAGCTGCTGTATTCACAAGAGTGACTGGTTTATATCTCCAGGTTTGATCGCGGTCACCAAAACGAGTATGGTAGGGGCCGCAGTCGCAGTCCAAGCCCTGAAAAGGGTTCTGGTTGGAGTGATCGCAATAGAGGTTCAAATCGTGAACGTAGCCGGAGTCGTAGTCGCAGTCGCAGCCTTGACAAGGCTCCACGCGCTGGGCGAAGTTTCCATCAAGCAATGATGGAAAAGGGTCGGCCGTCCTCGCCACATCAAAAACAGCATGGGCCAAGTTTTCATCAGGCAATGACAGAAAAGGGTCGGCCGCCTTCACCAAATCGGAAACAGCATACGCCAAGTTTCCATCAAGCAATTATGGAAAAGAGTTGGCCACCATCACCGCATAAAGGTTTTGGTGATGGTGGTTATGGGGAAGAAGCCGAGGAAGGCATGATACCCCAAGACGAGTAAAGTACCAATCGGGTAACTTTTCTAATACCTTCTTTTTATTTGTTTTGATGGTGCTGTAACTGGAAATAGTGGTGGTGCCTGCTGTACAAGGGTAACCTGGTGTGGATTATGAACTTGGCGGAAGATGTATTTTGTTTGTAGACTGGGGGATTAAAGTTTTCCTTGGACCCCACTTTCTCAACCCCCTTTTTTTTTTTTTGTTGGTCCTTTTTAATTTCGTAGAAAGGAATACGGCAACGGTGAAGCAACATAGTTAGCCAATGATATCATGTATTTCTTGTGTAGTTCTGTGACTTGCAAACTTTGACTAGCTAAAAAGAATATATTTATTTGTCTAGTTTACTGTTTCTGGTTCGTTGAATGAAAAGACTGGTTCAGTGTAAGTGTCTCAATTTTTTTTTTCACCTACCGTGTCGGTAGACTCCGTACCTTGTGAAACCTTGCTATCTGAATTCTGAACCCCTTCCCTCATTTTCTCATATGCCTTGCTGTCCCCAACGTTGTTTTTGTCTGCGAGTTGTTGGATAGAGATGTTCATAAGCGTGAACGGTGAAAACCAGTTCTTCTGTCAGTTGGCGAACCATTCATAAGTGTGAAACCAGCGGTTTTCTAATGGTCGGCGGTAATTGCCTCAGTTTTTTTATTTTATTTTTAAGTAATTGTAGTGACCATCGTAAATGAAATAGTGTACACTAAAATTATTTGTAGTAAGGTTTTACATTCACACACGCACACCAAGCATTTTTAATGTCAACAAATTAATATAAAACATTACTAAACACCTTAATTTTAGTTTGTAAAAACCCTTTCCTTTTCTCTCTTCATAGAAGTTCAGGGGATCTTTTTTATTGTTATTGTTTATATTTTTATTTTTTTCAAGATGCCCTCCGGCCTACGCGAAGTATTCACACGAGAGCCATGCGTATAACATATGGAAATGCCAGTATAACAAAGTATTTGTTTTGTATAACAAGGATTTTAAAAAGGTATTTGCAAGTATAGCCCGGCAGTTACATTATTTATGTAGTTAGAATCCCCATACCTTCAAAAAAAAAAAAAATTTGTTTTTTTAAAAGGTGCTTAAAATGTGTTTAAATCCACACTAAACACCATCTTAATTATGTCCTAGCCCCTTGGAGTATCGTGGTAATTCAAATTGGAACATATTATTTTTACACCAAAGGTAAAGGTCCTCGCGAGTTTTTTAAAGAAGAGGAAGAAGACCCATTGATATAATTGGAAATTTTTTTTTTTTAACCGCAAAGCAAATTCGATTTAAATTTAATTTAGCTATCAACCGAAATGAGGGGATACCGGGATACTACCCCTTCCTTTTCAAAGATGGATTATTGTAAATATTTCATGAGCCGCAACTTGTCACTCTCTCTTTGGGGACGTTTTATGTATTAGAGATATTTAGTTGGAACTTTAAATTTGAATTATTAGGAACAAGATTATCCTTTGTAATCTTTTATAATCTCCCTTTTCTATTCTTAGGATTCTGTTAGTTAGAATATATTTAGAGTCGGTTAAGAGTTCTGTAAACTATATATATTCTGCTTTTCAATGTTGAAATATATGCCATATATTTTCCCACTCTTTGTTCTCCTATATTATGCTGCGTCACTCTCTCTTTGGGGACGTTTTATGTTGCCGGACTACTTTTTTACGGCAGTGTGCCGTAAGTTAATTGAAACCGTTAAATTCAACGACTGGCTAAAATGCTTCCACGTGGAAAGGAAAGTGTAACCTGTAATCGATTGAATTAGTTAGATGGTCAGGTTATATTTTTTTACCGGAAAAAATAAGAAAACGATTTATGATTCCAATTTTGATCCCAATTTGGCTAATTTCTGAGATATACTTCACTAAGGAAGGGGTGGGTTCTTGTTATTCGATTTTGAGTTGTTTTTAGGGACCGCAAAATTTTGTTCACAAATTTTGATTACCATCGTGTGTTATTTTTAGTTGTAAAAGCTGAATATTGAATGATATTGTCTGTATATTGAATTGAAGAATTATAGCGGAGAAGGTATATACATATATAGGAAATCAACTTAGCCTATTCTAGGAATTTATTTATGGTCAAACGATTACAATCAATCAATAATGAATGGGAAATATTCTATCTTAATATCAGAAAATCTCTTTCTATAATTATGGGATTCTAATCATTCCCGTAATACTCTCCCTCAAGTTGGAGCGTGTAGATTAAGAACACCAAACTTGCTGAGTAGGGAATGAAAATTTGATGAACTAAATGGCTTAGTGAATAAGTCTGCAAGTTGGCAGGTTGATGACACATGAGCAGTTTCTATGGCACCTGACTGGATTTGTTCTCGAATAACATGACAATCGATCTCTATATGTTTGGTCCGTTCATGATAAACTGGATTAGCGGCAATGTGAAGTGCCGTTAGACTGTCACAAAATAGTTTCGCCGGTTGTTAGTGCTCCACTCATAAGTCATCCAACAAATACTTGACCCACGTAAGCTCACACGTAACTGAAGCCATGGCTCGATACTCCGATTCTGCTGAAGATCTTGAAACTGTAGTCTGCTTCTTGGTTTTCCACGAAATAAGTGCTTTTCCAAGGCAAATACAATAACCGGTTACAGACTATCTAGTGATTGAACACCGAGCCCAATCTGCGTCACAAAATCCCCTTAAGAGCAAATTTCCATTGGCTGGAAAAAATAATCCCTGGCTAGGTCCACCTTTAAGATATCGTAAAAGATGGTGAACATCATCTAAATGAGGCTTTCTTGGTCTTGCATAAATTGGCTTAGAATGTGAACCGAATAGCTTATCTCTGGCCTTGTAATAGTGAGATAAATGAGTCGTCCCACCAACCTTCTATAAGTAGACGGATTCCTTAATAGTTCTCCTTCTATAGGCAAGAGTTTGACATTTTCTTCCATAGGTGTAGACAATGGTTTGGCCCCAAGTAAGCCCGCTTCATCTAGTATGTCGAGAGTGTACTTTCGTTGAGATATCGAAATACCATCACTAGATCGAGCAACCTCAACACCAAGAAAATATCGTAATTGGCCGAGGTCCTTGATGCAGAATTTGGTGTGGAGAAACCTTTTAAGAGCAGCAATTGCATTGTCATTGTTGCCTGTAATGATCATGTCATCAACATAGATGAGCACGGCGGTGAAAGAATTACCAGAAACCTTTGTGAAAAGTGAATAGTCGGCCCTAGATTGATGAAAACCATCTTGCTGAATGTTTTCTAAAAATTTATGAAACCATCTCCGCGAGGCTTGTTTAAAACCATAGAGTGACTTGTTGAGTTGACATACCATAGGTGTCTCCCCCTGTCGACAAAAACCAGGAGGCAACTGCATATAGACTTCTTCAAGCAAATCTCCATGAAGAAAAGCATTTTGGACATCTATTTGGTGAAGTGACCAATTACGTACAGCAGCGACGGTAAGTAAACAACGAACTGTAGTTAATTTGGCCATAGGTACAAATATTTCCTTATAATCAATCCCTTCCCGTTGAGTGAAGCCCTTTGCTACCAATCGGGCTTGGTATCGCTCAACTGTCCCATCAGAGTGATGTTTAATCTTGTACACCCATTTGCAGCCGATTGGACGATGACCAGAGGGAAGTGGCGTGAGTGTCCAAGTATTATTTTGTTCAAGAGCAGCCAATTCTGCATCCATAGCCTCTTGCCACTTCGGATCTAACATTGCTTGTTCATAAGTTACAGGTTCCACAAGCGTAGTAATAGCACAAGCAAAATTCTGATATTTAGGTGAGAGTTGTGCATAAGAAACGTACCGGAATAAGGGGTGACACGTGCTGGACGAGGAAGAAGACTGGCGAGGGGCAACTATGGCAGTGTGGTAGAGATGATAATTTCGGAGCTTGACACTTGGTTGTTTCATGCGATTAGAATGACGTATGATAGGAGGTGGTTGTGGTCTAGAAGTGTCAGAGTCAGGTATAGTCCCATTTGTGGAAGGCGCTGGTGAAGATAAAAGAGGATTATCAATTTGTGGGGTGCTTGTTGTTGTAATTACTGGTTCTTCTGAGATGTGAGGCAAGGGAAAGGCCACCTCATCATATTGATCTTCTTGTGGATTAGCTTGGAATGGAAATAGATGTTCATGAAATACAACATCTCGAGAAGAAAATAATTTATTTGTTTTCAGATCATAAACTCGATAACCTTTTTTACCAAATGGATAACCAACAAAAATGCAGCGATGCGCTCTTTGATCAAATTTATGTGTGGGTTGAAGATTAGTGGCGTAGAAAAGACATCCAAAAGTCTGAAGATGGTTGTATGTGGGCGGTTTGTTATGAAGTAGTTGATATGGAGTTTTGTGAGAAAGAAGAGGTGTGGATAAACGATTTATTAAATAACAAGCTGTTTGAACACTTTCTCCCCAAAACTTTAATGACAAATTTGCTTGAAAACGAAGAGCCCTTCCCACATTTAAAAGATGGAGATGTTTCCTTTCAACAACTCTATTTTGTTGTGGAGTTGAAGTACATGAGGTGTGATAATTGATGCCTTTACTATCGAAGTAATCTTTCATAGAAAAAATTTCAGTGCCATTGTCGGTTTGAAGAGTTTTGATTCTATAATTAAATTGTGTTTCCACCCAAGAAATAAAGGATTGTAGGATCCCTTGTGTTTCAGACTTAAAACTCATGAGATGTATCCAGGTATATCGAGTATAATCATCAACAATTGTAAAAAAAAAAAATGAGCCCCAGAATGAGATTTTATTCGATGTGGTCCCCAAATATCACAATGAATCAATTCAAAAGGTGATTTAGATGTAATTGAACTAGATGGAAAAGATAAACGTGTTTGTTTGGCAAAAGGATAAATTTCACAAACATGCTTAGAATCAAAATAAATAGCAGGATTGGTTTTGGTAAGAACTTGGAGAGGATGAGATGATGGATGCCCAAGACGATGGTACCAAAGATTAGAATGTTTGCATATGACATTAGCGAAGGCTGGATTGTGGGCGAAGGCTGGATTGTGGTCCTGTGCTAGGTAGTAGAGACCATCATGTTGCTTGCCCAGGCCAATCGTCTTCCTCATAGCAGCGTCCTGCACAACACAAACATCGGAAAAGAAAATTACTGTGCAATTCAATGCTCATGTTAATTTACTAACTGATAGCAAATTAACTCAAAATTGCAGAACATTGAGCACTTCATCGAGTTTAATTTGAGGTGTAATATGCAATGAACTAATTGATTTAATATATGTATGACCACCATTTGGCAAACTGATGGTTGTTGTCTTTGGCAACTTTCTAGGATTTAACAATTCAAATGAGGAAGTCACATGATCCAT